CGGGGAAAACTAAAACCGAAGGGCATTTATAAAAGGGCCGCTGTGTAATTAGGAAAATTTGACAAAATTAATATTGGCTACAGGTTACAAATCAAATATAAACATATAAAAAGAAAACAAATATAACGATTATCTAATCTTGCAAAGACCTATGTTTCTATGTTCAAAAACACATGCGTATACACGCATACACAACAACATATTTATATTTACACGTACATACATACATATAGGCGTGTACACACATATATATACATATACCCATGTACACATATACATACATACACATATTCATATACATATATGTATATATACACATATACACACATACATATATATATATATATATATATATATACATACATACATAAACACACACACACTTACATACATATACACATACATCCATACACATCCACTCCTACATATATATACATTTACACACATATATACATACGGACATACACATACGTGCACATAAACATGTATACATAAAAACTTACATCTCCATACAATTACATACACCCATCTAAACAAATAAACGATGTATCCCTTTATCTATCCGTCTAACTATACATGCATACATACATACATATACACCCATATACAGATATATATGAATACATACATACCAAAACATACACACACACATAAACACATCTACATACACATCTACCTACATATATACATCCATATACGCATACACATATATATATACATATATATACATACATATACATATATATACACACCCCTACATATATACACATATACACACACATGTACGCACATATACATATACATATCTATATAAATCAAAATGTAAAATTTAAAAAAAAACCAATAAAATGTAAAAGATTTTGTCTCAAAAAAAATTTAAATACATAGCGCATCACATAAACATACACAATGATATATATAAACATAAGTCATTCCATTAAAATGTCATGCCCGATGTTATTGAACCAAGATGGAACTGACATAAGTGACAACACGTTATAAAACGGTGTTTATGTTTTGAATCGTTTCTTATGTCTACATTTAGAAAATATCTCACTACGAAGATTTAGCAACTCATCTTGATTCTTATCTTTAATAATAAAATTTTTTCCGCCATGCACAGATCACATCGATCGCGGATGTTATTAGAGGTTCTAGCTCTTGATAAGTATCTCCATTCGAAAAGTGGGGTTAGTCCCTTATCCACCAGATTCCAGTAGTGTTTGGATAAGGAAGTTTGATTTCTGAGGTATCTATATCTAAAAGAGCGTCTATGGTTGTATAGACGCTGCTTCCAATCACCGGCGATTAAATGGTTCCGAAAGATCCCTAACAAAAGAAGAGCCACTTTCATCCAATTTGACATCTTTGCCCTTCTATTTCGGAGGAACTATTAATTAACAGCCTTAATTTCGCTAAAGGATATACCGAAATAACGGATAATGATCTGGACATTATTTTAGCGTCAAGAAGATCAATACTTACATACAATGACGCTACTTGGGTGAAGAAGAATAATGAAAGTTTCGATGTACCTATGGGAGCTTTCGATTCTACTAAAATTGCAGATTTAGTGAGCATATATATTCTAGACACCTTGAGTAGAGTAGTTAGCCTTAACCAAGTCGGAATTTATAGAGATGGCGACCTAATCATTGTCCCTAATAGCAATGGTCCCTTGACTTCCAGCTTACATAAGAAGATAATTAGGGCCTTCAAATACCTAGGTCTTAAAATTGAAATATCTTCCAACCTGAAAATAGTCAACTTTTTGGATATTACACTCAACCTATCGAATGATACCTTTAAACCCTTCCATAAAGTTGATCAACCACCCCTATACATCAACGTCCACTCTAACCACCCTAAATCTGTGATAGATCACATCTCCAAAACTGTGAATACTAGAATAAATCTTCTAACCAAAAAATCTTTAACGATAATAAATTTATATACAATCAGGCCCTCAAAAATAGTGGTTTTAGACAAGAATTAAACTTTAATGGGGAACTTGTAAATCAGAATAAAATATAACTAAAAACAGAAAGAGGAAGCTAATATGGTTTAACCCACCATATTTCAGGCTCCCTAACATCGATATAGGAAGTTTCTTTCTGAGATTAATTGATAAACACTTTCATAGTAAACATCCACTACGTAAAAAAAAAAGACGCATTGATGTTATATGTAGATTTATATTGTAGCGATGTGTGGCTACAGGTTTGAAATGGACGGAGTTGTTAGTGGTCAACAGTTCATTCTATAACGGATCAGACTGAAAACTTTCAAAGTTAATGAATTCAACATTTTCGAGGCTTTTAGCTCAAAATTCTGAGTTAGGCCTCTACCTACCATATAGGTCAACGACCCCCCACCCCCACCCCGACATACGGTAGGCTACCAGTGGCCCCAAACTTAGGCCTGCCACTAAATAATCTTACATTCGGCATTATAAGCATTTATACGTTGGACTCGCCAACAAAATGTACAAGCATTTTTGGAACACCGGCGCTTCTTAGGCTTCGTAATGGAGAAAGGATTCACCGATAGAGTAATGGTTGCAGGTGCCGGACGCGGATTCGGCAAACCTAGTTCGAATTCAGGCCTTGCCTGTTGCGATCACTGGTATTCTTGAACGATGACGTGAATCCATCTCGTTTCCTTACGGGTATAGGCTAAATAGCAGGGTAGACTGGATTCTCTAGTCTTGTGTGGTAGCCAGTCTAAGAGGATGAAAACACTAAACTGCCTACCGTGGAGAAGGCAACGGGAAATCGCTCGACTATTACTGACAAGTAGTCTTTGTGATCCACAGATAATAAAAAAAAGGAATCCGTAGAGAGTCACGGTACGCACTGAAGGATTGTTTCGTTTAAATTCCTAATGCAGTAAATATTGATAGACATAACTAACACATCTTATATGCTTCAGTTTTCAAACTGATCATATTTTAGATTTTTAAGGATTGATAGTTTTTTATCATTAGCTAGATAGAAAGGATAGATCTCAATTCCTGTGGTTAAAGTGTCATCCTTCTCCTAGAAAGGTTGGCAATATACAGATATACTTAGCCGTTGCATGGTCTTGGCAAGGGCCGAATTATAATATAGAATATATATTTATTACTGTAAATCGCGGTATACAAGTCGACCTGGCCTACAAGTCGACCTCGAGATTTTTAGCTCAAAATTCTGAGTTAGGCCTATATCTATCGCATAGGTCGACCCCCAGATATACGGTAGACTACCAGTGGCCCAAAACATATACCTATCGGTAAATGAAGTTAGGCGACAGTATACCATAACCTGTGCCAAAACTGCATAAGGCCGAACCGCTTATATGTATATTGAGACACTAATCGTAATATATTTTTATATTCGTTGCATAACAAACAACGTAGACTGGTAGGTACTCTATATTGTATCGGTATAACTTAGCGAAAATTTAAAGTTCGTCAGGTTTACTAATAAACACATTAAAGTTAACATCAACTCCTATAAAATATTAGTCATTACTATTGCGCAGATGACACACATATCACGCCTAGTTGTCTGGGTGGCTGTTTGAGTTCAACGGCGATTCGGTCAGTGTTTATATTTAGTGTATCAGCTGTTGAACACGATGTCTGCTGTGACGTTAACATAATACTTAATTTGTGTTACTATTTTATTATTTTATTTTATATTTCTGTGTTAATATAACATTAATATGCTATTAATATGCTCACCAAACACAAGTGTTTGTGGAATATATTTGTGGCAGGCTGGAGGGAAGGTAACTGGTGTACAGTAATTGTTAGGAGTGCTGTCCCACTTGTTTACTACTTTGTGTTAAAGGTTTGCATTTTTATATACGCCATATAAGTCGACCCCTAGTTCTGAGAAAAAAAAAGGATTTTTAGGCCTGACTTGGACGCCGCAATTTGCGGTATATACTTTATATGAAGAATAACATAATTTAAGAAGAGTTAAAAATTATTACATATGTATATTTATAATATTTACCGTATTCGACGGCATATAAGACGCACCCCAATTTCAGCAGGGAAAATCAAGAAAAAATTAGTAATTAGTAAAATTAGTAAATGGTACAGCTTAGGCTATATTTATGAGGTATTATTTTGGTTAAACAAGCCATGATTACAATTGAACGAAAAAGAATAGGAAAAAAAGAATACGGACCTTTAAAAACTTTATTATATCCAAACAAAAACAAGAAAACAACAAAAAAATCAAGCAGTTATTACAACTGTGCAAAGCATCAAAACAGTAGAGTTACCATTAAAATTTTATTCATCTTCAAATCCATAAAATTCGTCGTCTTCGTTATCAAAACTCTGATACTCATTTTCAATACTACTATCATCGTCGTTAAATAATGCGTCATCTTCCGTTCCATTGAGAGCATTGCTAATGCCACACTTTTTAAAAGATTCCACAACAATTTCTGGTCTGATATTATTCCAAGCTTGCTTCACCCATTCGCAGACTTGTGCAATACTGGGTCTTTTTATTCTTCCTGTAAGTGTAAGGTCATGATCAGGCATTGCCATCCACGTGTTCCATTGCTCCTTCATGTTTAAGTCTAAGCTAATAGTTGTCAGGTAGCTAATTTCGGCCGACTATCGCGAATTTTAAACCTACATATAGCATATAAAACACAGGGGAATTTTAAAAGATATTTTTATTTAAAACGTGTGCCTTATAATGCCGTCAAATACGGTACGTATAGATATATTTATAATATTTAAAAGGATCCAAAGGTTAAAATTAACAAAGGCTGACAAAAAATATTTTTACATTATGGCATCAAATTACGATTCGTTTGGATAGTGATAATTCTAGGTTTCTTATGGTTTAGGCCAAAGCTATCGACTTAATTTCATGTCTGTCCTTCATAGAGTGTACACACCTCTATAGTGTCTCTCGGTTTCACTAAATGAACTGAGATATCTTTCGGATTTCCACGATTTATATTAAATACTTTATTCTCTTTTGTAGATAGCCGAAGGAGATGTGGTGAAACTGACTGATGTTGGACTGGCCAAACCAGTGCAAGATATTTCTGGATCAATTGCTGGCTCACCTTGTTATATGGCACCGGAGATTTTCCGACGTGAGGTCATCTACGGAAAGGAAGCGGACATCTACAGTTTGGCCATCATGCTCTGGGAAATGTGGTACGGACAGGATGTGGCTGCCCATATTAGTCCTATGATTCAGAGGGGTATAGAGGATTCGGTCATTAATGGTCTTCGGCCCTCACTGACCCTTTCTTCAGTGCCACCAGCGAATTTCAAGAACCTTCTCACGTCCTGTTGGGATGCTGAACCAAACAAAAGATGGAAAATCGAAGAATGTTCAGAATTCTTCAAGAGATGGATTCTTCAGTTGTGAATTAAATGTCAGTTACACAATAAGAACAACAAAGTTACCAGTTCGAAGTTACTTATGATAATAACCATCATTATCACCATCTTAGGATTGATGATGATGGTGATGATGATAAATATAACTTTATAACTGCTGACTTTTATGTTTTTATTCTTTATGTCTCATTCTGCCGCGTGTTGAATCAGGAGTTCTTTACACAATCCGACAAAATAAAAAGAACTAAGAAATTATATATATATATATATATATATATATATATATATATATATATATATATATATACATGCATACAGACACACGCATAGATAGGTTATATATACTGTCCTTCATAGAGTGTACACACCTCTATATAAATCCGACAAAATAAAAAGAACTAAGAAATTATATATATATATATATATATATATATATATATATATATATATATATATATATATATATACATACACATACAGACGCACGTATAGATAGGTTATATACATACATGATTTATGAGTGAATACAACTTGTGTGTGTGTATATATATATATATATATATATATATATATATATATAGAGAGAGAGAGAGAAAAATAAAGGACAGCAATTAATTACACGCACATGTATATATACGCACACACACACATATATATATAAGTGAACATTGAAGTCAACACTCAGATCAACAGACTATTTCAAGCTAGACGCAATTGTGTAGCATGAAACTGTCGCCTCTGAGTGTTGACTTTAATGTTGACTTTTATATTTACATACGCTCTTTCTCTGATATTGAGCACTTTTCCTATAAATATAGCACACCTTAAAACTATATTTCTTCATATATATATATATATATATATATATATATATAAAAAATATGTTGTAGTGGTTCCAACGAGAGAAAAGTATGTATATTAAAAAGAAGGGGGAAAACGTTTTTGGTTGTAATGTGGATTTATTGAGAAAAAAATATTATACTTTGTTTTACATAATTTCACGACACGTGTTTCTTAATTTTTCTTCATGTTCAATGTGGAATTCCACATTGAACATGAAAAAAAAAATTATTTTAATAATATGTAAAAATCTCCACTTTCACCTGAAGACGGTTGCGAGACCAGACCAGAAACACGTGTCGTGAAATTATGTAAAACAAAGTATAATATTTTTCTCAATAAATCCACATTACAACCAAAAACGTTTGCGGCACCCTCTTCTTTTAATATATATATATATATATATATATATATATATATATGAATTGGGATCAAATTTGGATAGTAATCAGGATGATAGGATAAAAACAAATAAGTTTATAAATAAATAAATATAAATTATAAATATGCTTCACTTTTATTAAAGTTTCATATGAATCTAACATGTTTCACTTTTATTAAAGCTTCATCAGATAAAGCTTTAGTGAAAGTGAAACATGTTAGATTTATAAGCATTTCCACATTTCCTATTTGTTATTTATCCTATCAAACATACATACATATATATATATATACATATATATATACATATATATATATATATATATATATATATATATATATATAAAAGTGAAACAGTTTTAAAACGTGTATATTCACTTACATGAGCGTAATTAGGGTGTATACACGCACGTACATACGCACACACCCATAAGAGAAAATGTGTGTGGCAGACATGCGTGTTTTAAATGCATGTGTATATGTATTTCTGTTTGTAAAAACATTTATGATAATGGTATATAGAAAGGTTTTCCATATGTTATATGCACGTTGTCAGATTTTATTATGCAAGTCAATGTTTTTCGCAATAAAATTAATATCAACCAATGAAAATTGATAAAATTTTCAAAATATATTTATATGAATAATGTATCATGTGAATTTCAGCTTACAATATCTATTCTTAATATATACCTATATATACGAGGTTTGATAAAAAATATCTGTACTGTTGCTATATTAATGGAGTTAAAGTAAGCTGTGTAAAGCCGCTTGATACAGATTGACCTCGAACTTATAACTTAAGTTATAACTTTGTCGCCCACTTCCGTTGTATATAGCAGTGCTTAGAAGGAAAGTGTGTAGAGTGTGGTCGTCTCACCACACCAGAGAGATTCGAGATTCCATCAGTGACCATCACTTGTGCAGCAACTTTTAGCCAAGTATAACATTCGCCAGGTCTTACAACCGCCATATTCTCCATATCTCGTTACTTGCGACTTTTACTTCTTCAAAATCAAATCCTACTTGAAAGGAACAAGGTTTCAAGCCGTCGAGGCAATCCAAGAGAATACGGCGAGGCAGCTGCTCACTTTCCAAAAAGGAGTTTCAGGAATGTTTCCATCAATGGAAACGGCGTTTGATAAAGTGTGTGGCTTCAGAAAGGGGACTACTTCGAAGGAGATTAAATGTCGTACTCATATGTAACGTAGTTATCTTTTTGTAGCACTTGTTCTGATACTTTTTGATCAAACATCGCACGCACGCACACACGCACACACACACACACACACATTTATTTATATATATATATATATATATATATATATATATATATATATATATATATATATATATATATATTTTAATCCGATGAAGTCCTAAAGGACGAAACGCGTCACACAAAAACTTTTTTCCACTTTGTCACACATATATATATATATATATATATATATATATATATATATATATATATATAATGTAAAAAAAATTCATTATTATGCACAAAAAATGCAACAAATCTAAATCCAAAAATATAAAATATATTTGATTAACACAATATCTCATATGTCTGAAAGAATTATTAGTTTACATGTTACTATGGGCTCAGTGACATTCTGTAAAATGTAATAGTCTTTCAACTATTGATTTTATTTTACTTTTTTACTGTTTCGTCCTTAACATTACTTGCAACATTCATGTTCCTTTCAGAGATTTTCTTTGCTTGAATATTGTTTTCCATTGTCATGTACATCACTTTTATTGAACGACCTCAAGTTTTAAATTGGATTAATATCTGGAGAGTCTAAGTATTATTCCATTAAACATTTTTTGGCAAGGTGGCCAATAGTCAGCTTAGAATGAGAAGGAGCATTATCTTACAGGAATATACACTTCAGCTTAAAGCTTCCTGCGTCAATTCAACAAATATCTTATCCAAGAACTTAAAATAGTGTCTAGACAAATATAAAAAATTTGTCATCGCATTCTTCCTGCCTACTATACTAGCCCAAAACATTACTCCACCTTCAACACGTTGTCTTTTAAGGTCCATCCAATGTAGCTCTGCTTTCATCGCTAAAAATTACTGTGGAGAAATCACTTTTCATGTACTTCTTTGCCCAATTTACATGTGTTTATTTATTATGTTATCCTTAAACATGTTAGTTTGGTCATTTTTATGTCTTTTGTCAATGTTCCTATTATTCTGCATTCTTTTTGTGTACATTCGCAACACCAACTTCTTAAAATATTTTCTTTCTGGTCAATCCACTTTTCGTACTTATTACCATTTTAATTTTTATCAAATCTTATCTTGTCAATGTTTTCGTTTGTTCTATTGTTATGTTATCTTGTTTAAACATTTTCACGATTTTCAACGTTGTTTTTTGTTTTTTTTTCATCTCTCGATAACTTTATATTATTTGAGGTTTTATCTGTAGATTCTTGACAAAATTTAAAGAAGAGACTTTAACATAATCGATCCTGACATAGCATCCTGACTTCTGTCACTTTCTCAACGACGAGATGTGGCGTCTTCTATTTTTTCTACAAATATTTTCATGGCAACTGTTTTAATGAGCTTTTTTCCTTAGTGCTTCGACTGCATCAATTTAAGCGTACTACTAGATTGGCAACTAGGTCTCACCGTTTTACTGTTGATCTAGCTAAATTCAACCGCAAGTTTTATTTTAATAAGTCTCCTTTCACGTCCCCGCTCGCTTGTGGAACTCAACTTCCTATTTCTTGTTTCCCTAACACCTACAATATTTACAAAATTTAAATGCAACGTAAATCGCCATCTTGTGTCTTGTCTGAATCCTGTTCATTTATTGTACTTTTCCTCACTTCTTCTCACTAAAGTTTTCTTATTCTCTTTTACTCCCTGTAACCTACTGCGTCCTAACGGCGTTATCGTCTTACTTGAGATGAAATGATTAAAAAAATATCTTTCTTACGAGCATTAGTAACATCTGAAATTAAATAAAATAAATATCAGTAACATATATATATATATATATATATATATATATATATATATATATATATATATAGTTTTTTCCAGTATCCTTACGTTTTTCCGTTTAAGTGAGTACAGAAATTTTTAATAATTTTCATTGTCCTAAGCGCTTTCGGGCACTTCTTTTACCATTTTTAAGGGTGGTTTGCTTTTAGTGTTGTTAGTTTTTCCTCATGTTTTGACTGATGAAGTTGTATTTTGTTTTTATGTTGTTTTGAATAGCAGTGTTTATTCCGAGTCTTCGCGTATTGAGCGCTGATGTAATTCGTGTGAGAATTTTTCTATTTTTTTTTTTTTTAAATTTAATACTCAATTTTCACTGTAAAATAAGATGAGAGTGATAGTAGAAGGGAAATGTTTAATATACAGGGCTTCTCTAATAGACAGATGTTTCCAGTAATCTGATTTATATAGAACTTTAGGGTTTTCCATCAGAATTTTTCTTAACGGTTCTTGTAAATTGTGGAAAAACGTAAGGATGCTGGAAGACCTAAATAAAGAATTAATTAAATCTTCTTTGGCTATTTAATGAAAGATGTTTAAAAGAAAGGTTGCTGCCTATATATAATTTTTATCTATCTATCTATCAGATATATATATATATATATATATATATATATATATATATATATATATATATATATATATATATAAGCACGCACACAATATGATGAACAATCAACAAGTTGCATAATAAAATCTCACACTACTAAATGCGTTCATAAGCTGAAATTATTCGACTGAATAATGAATTCGATCCTTACTGGGTGCCCCATAATTTCGACCTTGTGCTTCATTTAAGCTACGCATAGAATATCACCTTAAATTGAAATTCTTGTAGTATGTCTATCGTATAAGTACAGTACAAAATTTCAACATTGGTTGGTTAAGCAAATTTTATTGTAAAGGAAATTGACTTGATTATTATAATGTGACATAGTGTAGGGGTACATTGTGAAAACTAATCTGGGGTGCTGAAAAATTGGTGTCTTCAAATTTATATTCCCAAAAAAAGAAAGAAAAAGATAGTTTTATTGTTTGTTTTTTTTTTTGTTTGTTTGTTTCTTTTTTCTTGTTTTTGTTTTTCAAAACAATTGCTCACAAAATCTTGTGCATAAACAAGTTTTCAAAAAGTTTATGATGTGGGGAAAATTATACGTGTTTTTTTTTGGTTTTTTTTTTTTTTCTCAGCTTCGTTTGTTTTCTAATATATATATATATATATATATACAGTTAACTTGAATATATTTAGGTATCAAATATCAACCAATACCTGCATAAAAAATGATCTAACACGTTTATGTCTTCAATTTTTGTTACGTACTAATGCACACACACACACACACACACATATACATACATATATACACGCATATATATATATATATATATATATATATATATATATATATATATATATATATATTTTTTTTATGCTTTAACTTTATTGTGAAAATATCAATAAAAACCGTTCATTTTTTTAATTTGACTTTTTTGTCGATTTACAGGAAAAATAGTATTTTCTAGCTAAAATGAAAATACTAATTTATTCCATACTGTAAGGGCATCATTCCGGTCTCTTCCTACAGTAATGTAATAATTCAACTATCTAGATCTCCTTTTAAAGAAAATTTGAATTAACAAAATTGAGGGAAAATAAACGAATAACAAAAAAAGGTTTTTAAAAAGAACGTAAATATATGTTCTTTTTTACTGTGTTTCTTCTTTGGTTCAGATTACGTTAAAAAACGTCCCATTAACGTCTAATCTTTTCCATTTTCCACCAAGTGGATTGATCTAAAAAGAAGACATAAATATTTAAATGAAAATATTTGTTATTTCCCCGCATGATAATGTAACAGCCGTGTGAGAAAAAGGTAAAGTCAACTTGTTATAACAAGGGAGGTAACTTTCTTATTTTTTTTACCTCCCTTAGTTTTTAATTTTTTCAATCTTTTTGTCTTTGCACTATGCATCGTGAAATAATGGTTCGTTATCAGGCTGCATATCGTAAGTCAATTCTACTTTAGTGAGTTCGATCCTCATTTTGCTTCTCACGCTTACGGCTTGTGCAAGATTAAAACACACTAATAAATACTTATTATTTCAGTTAATTGCCATACGTGATACACGCTTGGGTGACCATGTATCTTTCGATACATGACTGACGAGGCAAATTTTTTCCCGCAGTAGGTTGCCATTTCTTTCTGCGGTAGACTGGTTGCCAACCAAGGCTAAAGAGCTCAGTCTGTCCTGCTATTCAACCCATAGCTGGAGGGAGAAGAGATGAATTCATATCTTTCCCAAGGGTATTTGTGCGCAAGTGAATCTGAAATACCCTTTGGAAAGGTATGATTTTTTTTTAATACAAAGCTATAAACTGTGGACCACCTAATGAGGAATGGTCACACAATAAGGAAAGGTCTGCAAGCTACCATTCAATAACAAACGCCCAATTTCAACTAAGCACATTTTTAATGCTTACTGTACGTGTATTCAGGTGATTTACTTTCAAATAAAGCATAAGGAAGTTGTGGGAGCAGCATAGCCGGATTTTGGGTGGAAAAATAAAATCCGAGTGTCCTGTCCACAAATTACAATATAAAATTATAAACAACACGAAGAAAAGATCTTCGCAGAAAAGGAAGAAGTTAAATATGACAATAACATTTATAAAGTAAGTGTATGTATTTACATATTAGAATTCAATTGTCTTTGTTGTGACCATGAAGAGACCAATAGTTCGAGTGTTCAAAGTGTTGCAAGTGGGTCTGCAAAGTTCGAAGTTATATGTACGCCAATGTGTGTTTATGTGAAGCACACACCAACGAAACATGTGTATGACTGCTGATTGGGTGTGTGCGATAGCAGTGATTTTTTCGTATCTACTGATTTTAGGAGGATTTATTCGTAGGTGCCACCAATCTGCCACTGTGTGGCAAGCCACTAGCGTTTACTGCTGGTGGCCCGCTGTCGGACCCACAGAGTGTTCGTCTCGACAATGTTACCACTGGCGGACCGTTAGAGGCCAACAGGTGGCCCGCAGCTGGCTGCCACCAGAGGATCGCTGGCAGTGCCATCGGCGGCCCGCCAGTAGACCACTAGCGGCTTGCGTGTAGGGTTGTTTGTGTTTCACTTATTGACCGTAAAATATAGTAGTTTATATCCTATAAAGCTATTAGTAGCCTATCACTTCATTAAACGTTCAGACCATAATACTCCGATTCGAATATCACCACTAGGAAATTCCTGAGTCTTGTGAATAAAATTGGATAGACAAAAGAGTTCAGAAGACGTTGATGGTTGTGTTGGTACAAAGTGAATAGTCGTCGATACCTAGGGTTTGAACGTACTGGTTTTGTTCCCGGTAGATTATACGCTCTCTCCCAGAAACTGCAACTAAGGTTCGGTCAGCATTGTTGTAATATAAATCACAGGTTAACTCTTAGGCCTGAAGAAGCGTCTGCAACAGAACCACTATAACAAATGAGTTTACTCGAAAACGAGTAGCCAGTTATTACCTTGTAGTAAATTCATTCGTCTCATTTCTTTATATTAAAAAATCTAACCGTCCGAATTCTAAACACTAATAAAATAAATCTGTGATTTAGAAAATACTTTGAAATAGTTGGTCCAGAGGAAAAAAAGTTGTAGTTGAAAAAAGGCTTTTGAAGTCGCCAACATATGTTTCTTTCAACACGCACTGAGGGGAAATCAATCTCTCTCTCTCTCTCTCTCTCTCTCTCTCTCTCTCTCTCTCTCTCTCTCTCTTCCCCCTCTCTTTCTCTTTCCCCCTCTCTCTCTTTCTCTTTCCCCCCTCTCTCTCTCTTTCTCTCCACCCCCTCTCTCTCTCTCTCTCTCTCTCTCTCTCTCAACAGAGTTTTAGTTTTCTCTGATTGGCCAAATATTTCACATGGCGATGTCAATTTCTAACCAAGAGACACTTTGATTTAAACAGTGTGTATTGTATTATGGAATCTTTTTTGACATGTTTGTAATATTGTCTATTATTGGGTAGGAAGTAAAGTTTATGCGTGTTTCAATATGATATGTATGTGTGTATGTAATTGCGTTGAAAACAGTGTTTGTTTCCTATAACCTCTTGAATATCCGAAACTGCAGCATGATAGACAACTGTCGATTTCCTCAACGATTAAATATCTACATGACGCCCTAAAAAATACATAAAAAGAAAAAAGAAAAAAGAAAAGAATGGACTAATTACATTTCTTAGTACCATCAACTCAGACCTTTACAGTTTGGACCCGTCTTGCCATGTTCACGGTGGCAAACCATTCTGATTCCCTTCGTGTTCCTTTGATAAAAAGCAAGTTCCACTCAGGAAGCTTCCTCCCCAGAAGTATTACTTTGTGGAACAAACTCTCGCGAGAATTCTTCTCTGACAACTACAATTTTGTTCTCTTTAAGTACAGGGTCAACCGATATCGATCCTACTCGTCCTTACAACAATCTCATTCAGTGACCCTTATAGTAGCGCCGGGCTTAGGGGTTAAAATGAACAATTGATTTCCCCCACGCCAAGAAGATTGATGAAGGATGATAATGACGAGGAAACACACCGGTAATTTTAACAAAACAAGATAAGGAATTTATTCACGAATTTACACGGTTGAAGTAGTGCCAGTAAGCTCTTTCCTGGAAAATAAATTAAAATTCTTAAGAAGTTCGTAGTTTTAACATATTGTAATGAAGAGGAAATGTTCATACAACAGATTAAATGAACAAAACACAAAATAATATTCAAAAATGTTTAAAACAAAGGTAAGAGAGTTCGTTGTTCGCAGAAGGGATATATGGTTTGCATACTTTCAAAAGTAAACGAAGAGAGATAGTTTGAAATACTTAGCTTTCTTGGATTGTTGAGAGAAAATTCTCTGAAATGCAGCGTGCTGGTTAAAGGCCAATAATATAATTTGTGAAAGCAAGGTTTTCATTGGTCCAAAAATAATTTCACAAACGCTTGCGAATTTCTTTCCTTCTTCTTCCTCAGGCCATTGGTTATTTTCTGTAAAAGACAAAAATATCACAAACGCTTTTGAATTTTTTCCCTCCTTCCTGAGACCTCCAAATTTGAAGGGGGTGGGTGAAGTGAGTTATTATTATTTTCACCCTCTACTTTGAGTGGCCCTTAGGCCTTGTATTTAGTGTGCTAAAGGCAAAAAACGGAGGCGTATTATTATACACAAGCACAGGTTTTCAGAAATTTTTACTCAGTTTGAAAAACCTCTTATTTAAAAGATTGCAAGTGCCAAAATTTGTTTTGCTCACAAGATAAAGCTTGTTTATATTTTGATTTTATTGTTTTTCATAAAGTTTTCTCTTTTCTTAATGAAAGACTTTTTTTTTCATAGTTTTTTTTTATTTTTAATCTACAGAATATATATATATATCAGATCGTTGCCAAACATTTGTGCCTTATTGCCATTGTTTTTTAATTTTCTAATTGGGAACGAACTTTTGCAATGATTTAATAATAAAGTCATATCAGACAGAAAAGTATGACAGATTAATTAAAACCTTTAAAAAAACCGTGTATGTTTCTGAAAATTTGAAAATGATTTTTGAAACGGAAATTACGAGAAGAAACACGCAATGGCCAAACATCCGGTTTATTTGTATTTTTTAATATCGTGAAAAATTAAGTATTTTAGTACGACATTGAGATTTTTAAAGTATAATGATATCGTACAACGTTTCAGAAAGAATGACCGCAGAATAGCTGTACTATTCGATCGTATTATACACAAGGATTTTTTTTAGCTGTTTTTAGCTTCAGAAACAAGGAGTCACAATATACTCAAGATGTATTATGCACAAGAAAATACGTTATGTAAATTATTAACTATTAAATTTAAGTTAAAAGTAACAGTTGGAAATTCTATGGATGTTGATAACTATGATTATTACATACTTGTATTCATTCTCTCCCTTTGATTATACTTTTTTATTATCTCCCTTATATTCCTGTCTATGTTTCTATCGAAATATTATCTTTCTTTTCATGTGCAATGTCCTTTTGGGACGTAGGCGATCATGGCTCTCCACCTCCCTCTATCCCTTGCAGCTCTCAACAAGTTCCCTCCCTCTGCTTCTTCCCCCAGATCACGTTCTGTCATCCACTTGTTCCCTTGTCTCTTTTTCCCTCTATTCAACACATGAGTATCAGATTCTCCAGGCCCTCCTTCCTCATTATTTGTCCCAGAAATTTCAGCTGCCTCTTTCTGATGTTAAGTATAAGCCTTCTCCTTGTTTGCAACCTCTCTAAGATCTCATTGTTGCTCACATGCTCGGTCCATGATATCCTTAGAATCCTTCTGTAGAACTACATCTCTGTCACCTTGAGTCTCTTCTTCATCTTTGAGGAGATCGCCCAACATTCGCTGCCATAACGAAGGACAGATGTCATGTAACAGCTCAGTATTCTTTTCTTTGTTATGAAAGAAATCCTCCTGGCTTGAAATACTCTGCCCAGCTATAAATATGAATTAAAAATTCATATGAGAAAAAAATAAGAAATGCACAAATATTTTTAAATGCATCTTATTTTATCTTTCTTTTGTTCTTTCTCACCAAGGAATTTTAATGTATCACAATTTTTTACACTTACATAAGTGAATGTAATGGATTTGACTGGAATTCGAACTTGGCTCTCCAATTCCTCAATCCGAGCCACTATCCACTACTCCACTGTGCCTTCTTGAATTCCAGTTAAATCTATTACATTCACCTACATGGTAATACCTTTAGGAAAGGTATTAACCCCCTTCTTCTCTCTCCAGCTATGGCTAAATAGAAGGACAGTTCTATAGCCCTGGGTGGCAAATGGTCTAGAAGGACAATTTTGAATTCAAACCTGCAGAGAGTTGTTTGGGGACCTTGTGGCACATAGTGCACCAGGTCTCTATATTCAGCTCTTCAAAAACTGTGGTTGGTTCTGCACAAAGCCTTCACCACTATAATTAAATCATATGTGCTGGTGTCTGACTGTCTGTTCCTAGGAACTGAGCTGCTTGACCCTCATATGTCAAATACGACAGGAGAGTCCACCATATATATATATATATATATATATATATATTTACTGGATGTAGGCAAAAGCCTATGCAGGGAAGTTTCAAAAAATAAGTCCTAGACGTAAGGGTCCTTCCCCCCAGTCTGTACCTCTCCTTTGGGATGGGGCTGGGTTTATTGCACAGCGCCTGATGTATACCAAAAAAGGAAAGTGCCGAGGTGACTTGGGCAATTAGTCTCCTTCTTCATATTCCATTTGAAAGAAGAAAATTCCATTTGGGTGTCTTCTTCTCAAAAGTCACTACTTTATGAAACAGACTCCTGAGAGGATGCTTCCCTAATCACTATGATCTTAACCTCTCTAAGTCTAGGGTTAACTATCCTGGATATCCTCATAATTGGCATTTACTTCACAGGGCTTATGGATATATCATGTTGAAACACCAGTTCTTGTACAATCACTGAGGTGAAGCAACATCAAGCCTAGTCAGTACCTAGATGGCTGACTGCTTAGGAATACCATGTGCTTGCAGCTTGGATATATAGGAGATGCAATGGATAACAGTTCAGAAATGAAAATCGGAGAGCCAAGTTCCGATTCCAGCCAGGATTGTTATATTCACTTACACACAAAAAGTATGAAAGATATGAATCCATCTCTTCTCCTACCTGCTATGGGTTAATTAGTAGGACTTGTATCAGTAAATCATTATTATCTCCAAAAAATTCTTACAATCTAAAAATATTTTCTGGCTTTAAATAACCAGCAAAATGTTGATAAACCATAAAAAATAAATCAATCTTGCATCCATACAACAACTTCATTTAGTAAACCTCTACTTTAAGTACCTCTTGGGTCTTGTATTTAGTGAATGTTTAGTAAAATAAATGTTTGCTATGTTTCTCTTAAAGTGAATAGTACCATTGATAATACTGGATATTACCGCTTGTAGTATTTGCAGATACTTTCTTTCTTGCCTCATCATACCACAGAGTCTAAAAGGAAAAGAAACTGATAAAAATAAGAAAAGAATCAATGTATAATAGCAAAAACAACTCATTTCAGAAATTCAAACCAAAATTAGTTTTGCAGAATAGCATTAAAATTATTATTAAATTAAAAGAAATAATCAAATAGTTATTCTGAATATCAGAATGTTTTCTTTTGTTCATTTTTTTTTGTTTTGTTTTGTTTTGTTTGGTAGCTATCTAAATGATCTGGTATTTTCAAACTATTGTATTTACTCAAAAATCACATAAATCATGAATTTTAATTGGCATGCAAAAGTATTAAAATAAATTTGACTAAATATTTGGTAAGTATGGCTGTATTTTTGTCATCTACAATAATTATATTTTTAATTAAAATAGTAAAAACAAAATAATACCCAAATAATTTTTTCAGGCCTCAGTATAATAATTGCCTATCAATTCCTAAACACATGACTTTGTTTGTAGTCCCAAAGTTTTCCCAAAATTTCTTATTACATGACTTCATATGTTGGCTGCATAATTCCTCATCACATAACATTGTATTATGGCCCCACAATTCCTAATCACATGACCTTGTATAGAAGCCCCACAAATCCTCATCACATAATTTTATATAGTGGCCACACAATTCCTAGATAGATAGACACAAGTTGACAAGATAGATAGGTAGACAGACTAAATTTACAAGATAGATAGATAGATAGATAGATAGATAGATAGATAGATAGATAGATAGACACAAATTGTCAAGTTAGGTAGATAAAAAAAACTGACATAGACCAACAAAAGAGATAGATAGAAAAAAAAAGATTATTTTAGAATGTGCCCAAATTTGTTTGCTGGGTAATGGGGCTTTTTTCT